GAAACAGGCATCAATGAAAAAATGCCTAAATACACACACATATATATATATATATATATATATATATATATATATATATATATATATATATATATATATGAATGTCAGTGTGTCACTTGTCACACTTTTCAACTTTACTCCTAGAGGCCATAGACCAATATATTATACCATTTTATTATCAATATATATATATATATATAAAATTGACCACTAATATTATCAATATCTATATCTATCTATATATATATATATATATATATATATATATATATATATATGTATGTATAAATTGACCACTAATATTATCAATGTATATATATATATATATATATATATATATATATATATATATATATATATATATATATAGGATTAAAAACATGTATCAATATGGTGATTTTCTTTCGTCTTTCAATGATAATGTTATTAAGCTTATCAGACGATATGAAAGGAATTTACTTAAAATAAATCGACAAAACTTGTGTATATTATTTAATGAAACATGCTTCAATATATATATATATATATATATATATATATATATATATATATATATATATATATATATATATATATATATATATGTCAATTTCAGATAGACGTGTTCTACCACCCTGAACTTATAGATTTGTATCTGTTCGATTACAAATGAATCCTTCCGCATGTGTTCTATTAATATTAGCTGCCGTTTTAGAACTATTATGACTAAGTCTGATCTCATGCAAGAAAAATAAACGCATCTTTTCTATTTTTACACGTTGAAAAGCGTGCTGAACGACAGAAAACCCACAATATCCTCTTTATTCAACTAATTTGAAGTTCTGGCCTCCTCAGCTGATAAGGCTGAACGCTTTGCTCTTAAATTCTCATCCAATTCAACGCTAGATTCATCTGGTGTACCCACACGTGATTTTCCCCCTATAAATGAGGCTCTACTGAATGAGATGCACATAACCCCAACGATGGTACTGGATATCATCTTTAAATTAGACTCTCATAAGGCTAGTGGTGGGGATGGGATACTGGCCATTGTAATAAAGAAATATATTCCAGAATTGGCTCCTGTCCTCTCTAAACTTTACAACTACTGCCTCACCGACTCTTGCTTTTCAGTCAGTTGGAAGTCCCCATCTGTTGTTCCCGTATTTAAGAACTCTGGTGACCCTCTTGACCCGTCTAACTACCGGTAAAGTCTTCGAGGCTTTAATCAACGCCGAAGTGGTTTAGCACCTTACTTCACATAATCTGCTCTCCGACAAGCAATATTATTTCCGCTTTGCCTGATCTACCGCTGACGTGCTCACGGCCATAACTGAATTTGTATACCATGCACTCAACAATAATGGAGAAGCTCGTGCCGTGGCCCTAGACATCTCTAAAGCGTTTGATAGGGTTTGGCATCCTGACCTTCTTCGTAAGCTTCAGAGATACGGTATTACAGAACGATTATTTGACTTAATACAATAATTTCTGTCAAACCGTGAAATGAAGGTCGTCCTAAACGGGTTCTCCTCCGCCTCCTTTATCACGAACGCTGGTGTTCCCCATGGCTCTATCTTGGGCCCTACACTGTTCTTGATCTTCATCAATGACCTTCCCGATTGCATCAGTTCCCAAGTAGGCATCTACGCGGACGGCGCTACTATTTACTCCTGCCTCAATAGTAAATCTGGTTTCGTTGACAAAACAAACCTGGCTGCTGATCGCGAAAAGGACCTCTAATCTGTGGTTGACTGGGGCAGGAAATGGCTTGTAAACTTTAACACCTCCAAAACAAAACTGCTCTCCTTTATCCACCACAGAGAACCCCTCCAAGCCTTCCATCAGAATGGCTGATTACCAACTCCTTGAGAGCGCCTCGTTACGCCTGCTTGGTCTCACAGTGTCCACTGACATGAGGTGGAATAAATGCATTGAATAAATAACTTCATCTACCGTAAGGGAAGTTGGTTCTCTGTGTCGGGCTAGAAAGTTTTTCTCGTCTGAGTTCATCCTTCAAATCTATAAATTAGCCATCTGTCCTTGCATGGAATATTGCTGTCATATATAGTATGGTGCTCCCACTGTACGTCTCGAGGTCCTTGACAAAATTCAGAGACGAATATGCAAGATGATTGTCCTGATCTGGCATCTTGTCTATCCCACAGACGTGCCGTGGTCTCCTTCTGTCTCTTCTACAAGTATTTTCACGGCAACTGTTCCGACGAGCTACTTTCGCTGGTTCCCAGACTGCTTGAATTTAAGCGAGCTACCAGGCATCTCGGTCCCACCCTTTCATTATCAAAACGGTTAAATGTAACCGTCTCTTTTACTGAAACAGCTTCTTCTTCCACACTTCCCGTCTGTGGAACTCCCTTCCTCTTACTTGCTTCTCCGATGACTATAATATTAATGTAATATGTAGTGTAATGTCACTCGACATCTGAAAGCCTGGGCTTGTTCCTAGTCCTTCTCTGTATCCTTTCCCCAAGCAGGCCTCTTTACTCTTGTTATCCAATCCTCTGTAACCCCTTGCGTGCTAGTGGTACTCCTGCCTTGCTTGTGATGAATTACTTTATATAAAAAAAAGATTTTATTATGATATCTAGGAAATAAAAAAAAATCACTTCCCAATAGAGGATCTATCACAGGAAAATTTATCACTTGACGCTGCTTTTAAATCTTTGAAGATCGTAGTTGATAGGAAAGCAAGAAATAAGAAGAGAGACCCACAAGTGAGAAGTGAAGTGCAAAAGAAGACACTATTAGCATAGGACTTGCGGTTAAATCTAGCAATTTTAACAGCACAATGTTGCGACTTAGTTTTTAAATCCGTGAATTTGATAGATCAGAGAAGAAAGTTGATGGATCAGACCAGTTGCGATAAAAATATTTAGAAAAAGGTTGAGAAAGCGATGGAAGTCGAGATTTCTCGTCAGGAGAGATTAGATTGGATTTTGTCAAGAATGTGTAAATACATAGCAGAAACACCAGACCAGATGTGGCAATCTTTTTTTAACTTTTTTTTTTTTGATTTTTTTTGTCTATTTTCGCCACCAAATACCGTCTATTCTCCATGATTTCATTTTTTTCTCCTTTTTTTCAAAAATGTTACCAACAGAGGCAAAAACAGTTTAAATATATCTGAGCAGGCGTCTGCAGCAGGGATTGGCCAGCCGCCCTCGCTGTTGGGTGTGGTTGGAAAGGAGTAGCCGGCTTTTATAAATATGGGTAAATTTAACAATGTAATTATAACTGCTATAAAAAAATGCCAAACAGCAAAATAATTTATCGTCGGACCATTTAGCAAGATCACTTATCGATACGGAATTAACCTTGAGCTATTTCCGTCGCTCTTGTTCCAGGGATAGTAGAACTCTATCCCCGTTGTCTACCCTAACACAAATGATGTTCTGCCGCAAGACAATTTTGTTTTGATTCCCCATCCTTTCACACCACTGATTGCAACAATAACGTGACTGGCCTCTCGTATCTGTGTATGTCAGTCATATAGAGTAGCTCGCTAATCCCTATTGAAGGCGCTCAGCATTGTTCCATTACGAGCTGCTGCTTTCTAGATTCCCAAGAGGAAGCTTACCCAATGACTACCATCTTAACCTCTTCAAATCTTCGCCACGTATCCGCATAAACTGTACCTCTTACCCTGTAATCCTCTAACTCGAGTGGCTCTTGGACTTTGCTGCACCGGCAAGAAAATTTATCTTTGCGGCTATTTTATTCTCATGTAAATACATAAATGAAATTCCTACTTATTTGTCACTGCTCTATACATTATCTATCTATCTATCTATCTATCTATCTATCTATCTATCTATCTATCTATCTATTTCATTTCATTCGTTCTATCTATCTATCTATCTATCTATCTATCTATCTATCTATCTATCTATCTTAGTTATTTCATTATTGGACAATAACGAGTATGCTCCTATTCCCATACATAGAGTAGTGAATACTGTATGTATTGATCAGCCGGCCTGCAGTTGGAGATTGGTCCTCAGCTGGGCAGGTTGAGCTTTCTGCCCGCGGGCAGAGAGGATCTCCATACGGGGCTATGTCGAAGGGCAGAGGCTCGTCTCGGGAAACACCTACCCGACACCGTTTTTATACGAGATCTACGGGGAATTTTTGGCTGAGCTTACGAACTCGGGAACCCCACATTAAAATCGGCCTTGTGCCATATCTGACTGCTCGGGGCAGTTGGTAGATACCGTCTGAGATCTGCAGTTGGAGATTCATTGTGGGTTTCACTTGACTCACTTCTGGCAACTGAATACCTCTCCACACCGCTGGCGAATCTTATATGTGTTGTTCTTATCCTAAGTATTATCCTTCATTACCAACCATCGTGTGATTATTCTATTCCCTAACCTTCCCTAGGTTTCAGCAATCTATCTATCTATCTATCTATCTATCTATCTATCTATCTATTATTGTCTAATAAATAAAATAAAACACTGGTGGATTCAGACACAAGTACGCCAGAGAAGGTGGCTGCAACAAGGACCAGCTTCATAACCATTAGCAAGATCCCTTATTAACACTGAATTGACGCTGAACATCAGTTTCTATTGATCCTTTTCCCTTTAAACTTCCTCGTTGTTCACGTGTTCTGTTCTTTATATTCTCAGCATCCTTCTGCAGAATCACATTTTATATTGCCTCAAGTCTTCTTCTTCATCTGTGTGCAGCATTCAATGTCAGATAGCAGTTAAGTCAATAAAAAATGTATAAAAAAAAAGGTAACAACTTACCAACATTTTACAGGTCATTTAAAACCAGGAAATAGATTATAAGACTTTACTTTTTGGACATAATAATGGTTTCATTGGTACAAAATTTACTAATTAACCCACACCTGGGGAGAGAAGAGGTGGATTTATACCTTCCCCAGGAGTATTTGCGTGAATGTGAATATAAGAATCTCAGCTGGAAATTGAACTCAGCTCTTCAATTGATAATTCTGATCCATTATCCATTGTACCATCCGCACATGCAAGCTTACAGCAATTGGTATTCCCAAAACGGTTACCCATATAGGTACTAACCAGGCTTGACGCTGCTTAACTTCGATGATCGTACGGGAACCTCTGTTTCAACATGATATGGCCGTAAACTTGTGGTCGTAAAGTAAAGAATCGAATGAAATCACAAATAAAAGAACGCCATTATAAATAAAGTTGAAAAGAAGAGGAAGAAGAAGAAGAAGAAGAAAAGGAAAAAGAAGCAGAAAGAAGAAAAAAAGAAGAAAGAAGAAAAAAGAAAGAAAGAAGCGACAAACAAATAAAGCAAGAAAGAAACCAAGCAGAGCAAGAAAGAAAGAAAAAAAAAGAGAAAGTAGGCAAGCAAGGAAAGAAGAAAGGAGTGACAAACAAACAAATAAAGCGAGAAAGGAAAAGAAAACAAGTGAAAAATAAGGAAAGAAACACAGTAAGTACGATAGAAACGAGTAAAGAAAGAAAAAGCGATCCATGTAAGCAAGCAAACAAAAAAGAAAGAAAGAAAGAAAGAAAGACGAAAAGGAGAAATAATCACGACTTGAGAAATCAAAACGAAGGAGATTTTCTTAACTCAGAAAAAGAGGAAGACGAAAGAAAGAAAAAAACTGAGGCGAGATGGGGAGGGGGTATTTTTTTTTAAAAAAAGAGGCAAAATTAAAACAAGACAGTCGACGTACTATTGTTGGGCATGTGCGTGAACAGTTGGGTCAGAAGCAAAACTCATAATACCGCTAGCGACAAGCACAAAACGTCGAGCGGCATTCTCGCTTGGGCAGGAATCTCGTCCACAAAAGAGGCTAATATGCTCGAATGATTCCAACATTGGTATTATTCCTGCAAGACTGTTCCGTAGACAAATCCGACCAGTGTTCAAGCCTCTTCATATTCTTGCCTCCCACCCCATTTTTTCTAGTTTTGTTTGTTAATCTTATTCACTATTTTTATCTGATTATTTATACTCTTTTGTTCCATATCGTTATCTTCGGAAAGCACTTTGGAATCGAATGATGCAAATGTCGTTGGTGCGTTAAATGTTGACAACCATGACAAAATAAAAAATATATTGTGGACTGGTGTTAATGGCTGACAGGCATTGGCCAAAACACATCTCATGCATGAAACGGGGTTCGGGTTGACGTTACTTTGCTTCGGCAGCTTGAAAATCGGTTCCAAGAATTTTCTTCTTGAAAGATGTTTGAGAATTGCGGGAATTAGAGTAAGCATGAAGGTTGGAGGAGAATGTTTTGTTGTTGTTGATGTTTTTGTTGCTTATTCTTTACAACCAACCAGCATTTCTTTTTTTTTTTCTTTTTTTCATTTCTCCTTTATTTTGTCGTGTTTGCTGAAGTCCTTTTTCATTCATTAATTTTTATTTACATTTTTATATTTGTGGAAAGGGACTTGCGTGTCTTCCATAGATTCTTTTTTTTTCTTCTTCTTTTTCTTCTTCCTCTTTTTTCTTCCTCTTTTTTTTTTCTTTACTTTTTTCTTCTTTTTCTTTTGCTTCTTTTCCTTTTTCTTCTTCTTCTTCTTCTTCTTTTTATTTTTCTTCCACTTTCTACTTTTTCTTCTTTTCCTTTTTCTTCTTCTTTTTCTTTGACTTCGTCCTCTTTTTTCTTTTACTTCTTTTTCTTTTTCTTCTTTTTCTTCTTTTTCTTTAATTCATTTTCTTCTTCTTCTTCTCTTTCTTCTTCTTCTTCTTCTCCTTCTTCTTCTTCTTCTTCTTCTTCTTCTTCTTCTATTTCTTCTTCTTCTTCGCTATAAAAAGAAATAGTAGTCATGAATTCATTGAAGAAGTAGAAGTCACAGAGTGACTAGGGCTTTTTTCCTTCGTCTTCTACTTCTTCTTCCCATACAAAATAAGTTCCATTTTTTCACACACACAGATATATATATATATATATATATATATTTACTTCAAGCTCTCTCCTCTCCCGATTTTCCTCATTTTCTCTTTATCATTAGTCTTCTTTTCTTCTTCTTCTTCTTCTTCTTCTTCAAAACAAGAAAAAGTCATAAATTCATCGAAGTAGTACAAGCGTGACTTGCTCTTCTTCATCTTCTTCTTTCACATATAAAATGTCAAGCATTTCATATATATATATATATATATATATATATATGAAAATATATAGAAAAAAGGAAAGAACTCGTTAGGTAAATAATCCAGAGTTCATTAGTATTTTGTTATTATTTAAAAAAATAGTGCTCGATACAAAAGTAGAGCATAATATATATATATATATATATATATATATATATATATATATATATATATGTGTGTGTGTGTGTGTGTGTGTGTGTGTGTGTGTGTGTGTGTGGTGGACTCATATTCGACGTATGAGGGTCAAGCAGCTCAGTTCCTAGGAACCGACAGCTCAGACAATAGCACATATGATTTGATTCGATTCCGCAATCCGACCCGCTATTCACTACTACACTGGCCTCTTATATATATATATATATATATATATATATATATATATATATATTTAAAAGAAAAAACAGACCACTTTAAGGTACCATTACAATAAGTTATTTCGCCAGAGTCCTTTTAAAAGGACGCCGGATCATCAGATAGCACTTCCAACAACGAAATGAAACGAAAACTTAAATATATATATATATATATATATATATATATATATATATATATATATATAATATTTTGCACTAGTTCTTTGACAGCTATTACAGATAAATTTCTAATTCGGACCCGAACTCAGTCTATACACAGTCTATACATAGTTTTGGATTTTATTGTGTACTACATTTGCTCTGTAATAATAAATACATTGAGCTCTTTTTGTGGATTAATTTTAATATCTTATATTACTAGGATCCACTTGGATTACATACCAACGTATTTATTACCTTTTTACTATATATATATATATATATATATATATATATATATATATATATATATATATATATATATATATATATATATATATTGGACAATGCAAAATATTAAAAATTAAAATGTTCAGACACACTGGGTTGCATATTAATATTCTTTTCGTTTTTTTATTATTATTTCAGTTAGATTTCTTGAATAGTTTCGGCCAACATGGCCATCATCAGGAAAAAAATTCTTCTTGCTGGTATATATATATATATATATATATATATATATATATATATATATATATATATATACTGGACTCACCTGCACATATGATTTGATTACAGTGGTGAAGGCTTTGTGCAGAGCTAAGCACACTTTTTGAAGAGCCGGATACAGTGCCGGAATGTCTCAAAAGATCCTTCGCAGTTTTTGAATTCGGAGTTGTCCTTCTCCTCGACCAGATGCCATCCAAGGCTATAGTACCCAGTCTGTCCTGCTATTTACCCATAGCTAGGGGGAGAAGAAGAAGAGATTTATAACTTTCCCAAGGCTAAAGAACCCAGTCTGTCCAAATGGTAAGTGAATGTATTGGATTCGACTGGAATTCGAACTCGACTCTCCGATTCCTCTATCCGAGCCGCTATATCTATCTATCTATCTATCTATCTATCTATCTATCTATATATATATATATATATATATATATATAAACACTTTTGTTCATATAGTGATTTTCCAAGCGTAGCTTAGATGTGGCACAATGCCGAAGGTAGGAAGCACGCAGGTAAGATCGAACTCATTACTTAGTCATATTTGTTCAAGCTTGCTAGCCATTGCACTGCCTCGAGATGCCCACTTCTGTTCATATATACAGGATGCGATGAGTAAATTGTGGCCATTTTAATTTCGCGCATGTGCGTTGTTTGCTTTTGATTTTGTCGACTGCACAGTATAGTGGGGTCAGTTGGACACTTTCTGTGAGAAAAACAGCACTTAATTCACTCTACCAGAAATCTCGAAACGGCATGCAGTCCTGTTTGGCATTCGCACAGGAAGCTCCAATACGAACATTTCAGTATGTTTGGGTGTCAATCTGAGGCTAGTGCAGAGGATTCAGAAAGAGTTGGATGAGATTCAACACGGAGGCCTACATAAACTGCCTTCGTGAGGTTGTGCTGCCCTGAGTCAAGAGGTTGGCTGCTGGAAAGATGCTATGTCTGGCAACAGAACACAGTCATGTCCGTCAGTACGCGTGGGGCGCAGTTTTAACACCAAAGATGAACTGAAGGCAAGGATTATGGCAGCATTGACCAAATTAAAAAGAGACCGCCCAGAAGAGTTGTAGGAGATTCCGAAGTCGTCTGGAGGCCGTGGTTGAAGCCGATGGCGATTTTATTGAATAAATTTACTCTTTAGTATTTCAAGATATTTTTTGTGTAATTTTAGTAACTATATTTTATAAAATTAGATGTCAGTGTTATTTTTATTTTTCTGTAACTAAAAAGAAATATCGACAAATATTAGCAGTCAATTGCTGATATTCCCCGAGGGGTGGACGGGGAAGTTAAAATCAATCAGCTTAGTGCCAAAATTTTAATAATATATATATATATATATATATATATATATATATATATATTTGATATATCTGTATTACTGTCGTCTGTCTCCTCTCTTTTTTCCTTTTATTTTCTCCCCTCCCATTCCTACATATCATTTACGTTAAGTTAACCATCTAAATAGGTCAAGGTTCGGTCACTCCTCCTACCCCAATATAAAGCATGCGTAAGAGAGATATGAAATTAACCCCTCCCGATACTCTACCTTGTCTCTTTAACTACCACTCTCCCCCCTGTTAAATTACAAAACTTACACTACCCATCAATTTCTAATCCCATTTTATCTTTCATTTCGTTGTTGGAATTGTTACCTGATGATCCGAAGTCCTATTTTGGTGAAATAAATTATTGTAATGGTACCTTAAAGTAGTCTGTTTTTTATTATATATATATATATATATATATATATATATATATATAAATTTTCATTTTTGAATACAGAAGAATTACTGTAATTATCCGTAATGGTATATATCAATTGTCCACCTGCAAACCCGCAGTTTCGTGGCGCTGTGTCCACATTGGTGTTTCTCCAAATTCTCTTTCTTCATCTTCTTCTATTGCTGATGAGGATCATTTCTCAAACTTCTTTTTCATTTCTTCTTTTTCTGTTGTTGCTGATCATGAGGACGAGTCTGTTTCTCA